GTGAGGATAATAGTCCGAATAATGTAAATAGTGTACATAATACCTCATCTCAGAAATATAGACAGATACTGAAAGGCCGAAACGTTGTAATAAATATGGCGACAAAGATGAGGACAATAGTCCGAATAATGTAAATAGTGTACATAATACCTCATCTCAGAAATATAGACAGATACTGAAGGGCCGAAACGTTGTAATAAATATGGCGACAAAGATGAGGATAATAGTCCGAATAATGTAAATAGTGTACATAATACCTCATCTCAGAAATATAGACAGATACTGAAAGGCCGAAACGTTGTAATAAATATGGCGACAAAGATGAGGACAATAGTCCGAATAATGTAAATAGTGTACATAATACCTCATCTCAGAAATATAGACAGATACTGAAAGGTCGAAACGTTGTAATAAATATGCCGACAAAGGTTGTAATAAATACAAAGATAGTCCGAATAATGTAAATAGTGTACATAATACCTCATCTCAGAAATATAGACAGATACTGAAAGGCCGAAACGTTGTAATAAATATGGCGACAAAGATGAGTACAATAGTCCGAATAATGTAAATAGTGTACATAATACCTCATCTCAGAAATATAGACAGATACTGAAAGGCCGAAACGTTGTAATAAATATGCCGACAAAGGTGAGGATAATAGTCCGAATAATGTAAATAGTGTACATAATACCTCATCTCAGAAATATAGACAGATACTGAAAGTTCGAAACGTTGTAATAAATATGGCGACAAAGATAAGGACAATAGTCCGAATAATGTAAATAGTGTACATAATACCTCATCTCAGAAATATAGACAGATACTGAAGGGCCGAAACGTTGTAATAGATATGGCGACAAAGATGAGGACAATAGTCCGAGTAATGTAAATAGTGTACATAATACCTCATCTCAGAAATATAGACTGATACTGAAAGGCCGAAACGTTGTAATAAATATGGCGACAAAGATGAGGACAATAGTCCGATTACTGTAAATAGTGTACATAATACCTCATCTCAGAAATATAGACAGATACTGAAGGGCCGAAACGTTGTAATAAATATGGCGACAAAGATGAGGACAATAGTCCGAGCAATGTAAATAGTGTACATAATACCTCATCTCAGAAATATAGACTGATACTGAAAGGCCGAAACGTTGTAATAAATATGGCGACAAAGATGAGGACAATAGTCCGAATAATGTAAATAGTGTACATAATACCTCATCTCAGAAATATAGACAGATACTGAAAGGTCGAAACGTTGTAATAAATATGGCGACAAAGATGAGGACAATAGTCCGAATAATGTAAATAGTGTACATAATACCTCATCTCAGAAATATAGACAGATACTGAAGGGCCGAAACGTTGTAATAAATATGGCGACAAAGATGAGGACAATAGTCCGAGTAATGTAAATAGTGTACATAATACCTCATCTCAGAAATATAGACTGATACTGAAAGGCCGAAACGTTGTAATAAATATGGCGACAAAGATGAGGACAATAGTCCGATTACTGTAAATAGTGTACATAATACCTCATCTCAGAAATATAGACAGATACTGAAGGGCCGAAACGTTGTAATAAATATGGCGACAAAGATGAGGACAATAGTCCGTGTAATGTAAATAGTGTACATAATACATCATCTCAGAAATATAGACAGATACTGAAGGGCCGAAACGTTGTAATAAATATGGCGACAAAGATAAGGATAATAGTCCGAATAATGTAAATAGTGTACATAATACCTCATCTCAGAAATATAGACAGATACTGAAAGGCCGAAACGTTGTAATAAATATGGCGACAAAGGTGAGGACAATAGTCCGAATAATGTAAATAGTGTACATAATACCTCATCTCAGAAATATAGACAGATACTGAAAGGTCGAAACGTTGTAATAAATATGGCGACAAAGATGAGGACAATAGTCCGAATAATGTAAATAGTGTACATAATACCTCATCTCAGAAATATAGACAGATACTGAAAGGCCGAAACGTTGTAATAAATATGGCGACAAAGATGAGGACAATAGTCCGAATAATGTAAATAGTGTACATAATACCTCATCTCAGAAATATAGACAGATACTGAAAGGTCGAAACGTTGTAATAAATATGGCGACAAAGATGAGGACAATAGTCCGAATAATGTAAATAGTGTACATAATACCTCATCTCAGAAATATAGACAGATACTGAAAGGTCGAAACGTTGTAATAAATATGGCGACAAAGGTGAGGACAATAGTCCGAATAATGTAAATAGTGTACATAATACCTCATCTCAGAAATATAGACAGATACTGAAAGGCCGAAACGTTGTAATAAATATGGCGACAAAGGTGAGGACAATAGTCCGAATAATGTAAATAGTGTACATAATACGTCATCTCAGAAATATAGACAGATACTGAAAGGTCGAAACGTTGTAATAAATATGGCGACAAAGGTGAGGACAATAGTCCGAATAATATAAATAGTGTACATAATACCTCATCTCAGAAATATAGACAGATACTGAAAGGCCGAAACGTTGTAATAAATATGGCGACAAAATGAGGACAATAGTCCGAATAATGTAAATATTGTACATAATACCTCATCTCAGAAATATAGACAGATACTGAAAGGCCGAAATGTTGTAATAAATATGCCGACAAAGGTGAGGATAATAGTCCGAATAATGTAAATAGTGTACATAATACCTCATCTCAGAAATATAGACAGATAAATATGGCGACAAAGGTGAAAGGTCGAAACGTTAATGTAAATAATGTACATAATGGACATATACTGAAAGGCAAAGATGACAAAGATGAGGACAATAGTCCGAATAATGTAAATAGTGTAATACCTCATCTCAGAAATATAGACAGATACTGAAAGGCCGAAATGTTGTAATAAATATGCCGACAAAGGTGAGGATAATAGTCCGAATAGACAAATAGTGTATAATACCTCATCTCAGAAATATAGACAGATACTGAATGGTCGAAACGTTGTAATAAATATGGCGACAAAGATGAGGACAATAGTCCGAGTAATGTAAATAATTTACATAATACCTCATCTCAGAAATATAGACAGATACTGAAAGGCCGAAACGTTGTAATAAATATGGCGACAAAGATGAGGACAATAGTCCGAGTAATGTAAATAGTGTACATAATACCTCATCTCAGAAATATAGACAGATACTTTTTCTATTCCTCCTTGTCCCCATTCTGCTATCCACTCACAGGAATTCGTTGGGTTGATTACTTATTGTCTCACTCTGGTCTTCCATATCCACAGACGAAACCTTGCCTCTCGGTGCTCTATTGCTATTTTCCTGGCAGATATTCGGGCGAACCACATTCTTTAGTTTTCACCAGTCCAGGCTTTAGCAGCTAGGACCCACCAGTCCACGTACACTGAGTCGATGCATTTTTATGCTCTTCATATTCGATTTTTAAAAAAGAAGTTCCATTCATACAGCTTCTTTTCCAGAACTTTAACTTTTTGAAACCGACTCCTGAGAGTATGCTTCCCCGATCACTAAAATTTGAACCTCTTCATGTCTAGGATCTACTGTTAGCTATCCTAAATATGATCATAATGTGCAACTATTAGTCCCGCCTTCATAACAAACACATTTAGTAACCCTCTGACTTTTGGGCCTTGTATTGCGTGAACAATAGTAAAAATAATGTTCTTTGAGTGTTAACTTATCTAATCCCTGCTTCATCATTAGGTATCAAAGACATCTGCCTTTTCGGATGTGATCGGCCCTGATCCGGTAGCTCGTAAACTGTCGTTCTCTCACAGACATGCCTTTTCTTCCCTCTGTCTTTTCTACAAATACTTTCACGGTAAGTGCTCCGAAGAGCTACTTTCGCTGGTTCCCAAACTGCATGAATTTAAGCGTGCTACTAGGTTGGTATCTCAGTTCCACCCTGTCACTGTCGAAACTGTTAAATATAGCCGTCTCTTCTACTACAATAGCTTCTTGTCTTGCACTTCCCGTCTGTGGCATTACCTTCCTCTTACTCGCTTCGCTGATAGCTATAATATCTAAATATTCAAATGTAATGTCGATCGACATCTTCTGATGCCTTGATCCTGATCCCCGTCCTTCTCTCTATCCTTTTCTCAACCCCACTCTTTACTCTTGCTCTCACACTCTGTAACCCCTTTCGTACTAGTGGCACTTCCGCCTTGCTTGGGGTGATATGCTTAAAAATAAAAAGTTTCCTCTCCTCGTTCAATTGAATCTGATTATTAAAGTAGACATTCTTCTATATTATTCTACCTCTGTCCCATAATGATTGTTCCAGTTATTCTATGAAATGTGTACGTAAATGGAACAATCGTTATGGGACAGAGATGGAAAATCCCTTTCTCTTACTTGCTTCCCTGATAAATTATAATCTTCAAATATTCAAATGTAATGTCAATCGACATCTTCTGATGCCTTGATCTTGATGCCTGCCCTCTTTATCCTCTCCCCTATCACGCCTCTTTACTCTTGCTCCCATTCTCTGTAACCCCTTACGTGCTAGTGGCACCCCCCTCTTGCATGGGGCGAAATGCTTAAGAAAAAGTACTATCCGAAAAAGAAAATTTCTCATAATGTCTCTGCTCTCTTTAGAGAAATTGAATTTAATATAAATGTCGAAGTATTAAGAAGACGAAGATATCGGGAAAGCAAAGATTGTGAGACAATTTTAACAACTTCGGTTCTCTCAACAAAGACATGTTATTTGAAAACGAGAAAATCTGGGATTCTTCTTGATGTCTTCATTCAAATAATTCCCCGACCAGCCTGTTTATTTCGGATCGTCAGTGTAAAAATCAATGGAAATTTACAAATATATAGTGTTTGATTTTCTCAAGCGTTTTCGGGAAAAAAAAAGATCAAAAGAAAATGGCGGATCAATATATATCGAGATGAAAAGAGGAAAACTAATTGGAACAAAAAAGGTTTCCGAAGATGCGACCGAAGTCCGGCATATAAAGCTTTGTATTAAGGAAAAGAGGGTGATAGATAGATAGATAGATAGATAGATAGATAGATAGATAGATAGATAGATAGATAGATAGATAGATAGATAGATATGAAAAAGATAAGATGTGAGATGGAGAGGTTGGAGAAAGAAAGGCAGATTGACACTTAGATCGAGGCTGCAAATTCAATCAAAAACATTTAATGTTCAGTGGGCCTTGCTGATAACTCTTCCGCACCCCTTTAGATAGATAGATAGATAGATAGATAGATAGATAGATAGATAGATAGATAGATAGATTAGAATGAGGTAGAGAACAAACTGGGATAGATAGATAGATAGATAGATAGATAGATAGATAGATAGATAGATAGATAGATAGATTAGAAACACAATGAGATAGAAAACAAACTGGGATAGATAGATAGATAGATAGATTAGAAACAGAATGAGATAGAGAACAAAATGGGATAGATAGATGGATAAGATAGATAGATGGATCAGAAACAGAATGAGATAGATAGATAGATAGATAGATAGATAGATAGATAGATAGATAGATAGATAGATAGATAGATCGTGAGAGAGAGAAAGAGAAAGAGAGAAAGAAATTATAGTTGGAATGAGAGAAGAGAAAATAAATAAAATTATCATTAGTATCGTTATTATTACGTGAGCGATGGTCGGCTGTGAACTAAAAAGAAATCAATGGAGGCACAACCGGAAAAGGAATGAAGACGGAAAAAAAAGATGATAGCTTCCCACTAAAAGGAAACAAAAATGAAGAAAAAAAGAACAAAGCGAGAAGGGAAAGAGTTACTGGGGCAACGTGTTGTATGAAAAATGTGTAAAATAAATGGAGTCAAAATGGCGGAGATACGACTGACGTATATATGAAGGTGAAAGGAAAAGAAAAAAGAGCACCTCAGACAACGATGAGGGCGTCGATTAGAGAATGAAGGGGAAATAAAGTGAGGAAAACAAAAAGGAAAGAGGAAGGAAAGAAAGAGAAAAAGAAAAAGAAAAAACTGAACGAAGGCAAATATTACAAATAAATAAACATATTCTTAAGAAAAACCAAACAGAAAAGACATTAAAACGAGAAAGATTTAGAAGAAAAAAAAATGAAAGAAAAAGATAAAAAATAGAAGAAGAATGAATGAAGGAGAAATAAATAAAGAAAATGAAAGAAAAAATGAGTTGTAAATGAGGAAAGGAAACTATGTGGAAGAAAGAAAGAAAATAAAAGAAGATGAAGAAGAAGAAAACAAAGGGTAAAGACAAATTGAATGAAAATTAAGAAAAACAGAATGACTGGGGGAAAAAAAACACGAAATAATGAAATAAAGATAAAGATCGGTAAGAAATATGAAAATGAATGAGTTGAAGATTAAAAAAATAGTATGGACAAAATAGAAAGAAAGAAAAAAGACAGAAAGGAAAAAGAAAGAAAGGAAAAAGAAAGAAAGAAACGAAAACATAAAAAGTCAAAGGAAAAATGTCAAAAGGTAATGATGAAAAAAATAAAGATCAAGAAAGATGAAACAATAAAAAAAAGAAGAGAGGGTAAGAAAACAAAGGAAGAGAAGGAAATGAGTGATTTGAAGGAGAATGTACACAGATATGAAAGGAAATGTAAGAAAAAGAAAGAACATGAAGAAATAGTAAAACAAAATCAAAATCAACAAAAGAAATAACGAGTAAAAGTGAAATGAAATATGGAAAGTAAAAAGAAAAGACCGAAAGAAAGTAATTAAGGAACCAAGGAAATTACCAAAGTGGTCAATAGAATTAGAATCAAAATACAATCATAGAAATACCGAAAGTAAAAAGAGAAAAAAATATAAATTATCAAAATTCTATATAAAAAGAAATATTAGAATTTCCAGGAATAGAAAACCAATAAATAGTTTTAGGTTTCAGTTTTCAACGGATTAAGAGTAATGCGTTTATGTTATAGAATATGCTGTTTATATGAGCAACTTTGAACCAGCCATTTACTACTACTCAGTGAAGATTTCTTCTTTTTACCCATAAGAGTTGCAGGAGATTCCGAAGTCGTCTGGAGGACGTGGTTGAAGCCAGTGGCGATTTTATTGAATAAATTTACTCTTTAGTATTATTTTTCTTCAGTTTTAGTAAATATATCTGTTAAAATGAGATTTCAGTGTTATTTTCATATGCATCACACCCTGTAAAAAAAAAAAGGTATATATTTTTTTTCCCCGTAATGTTAAATTAAAAACTATAATTTTAAAAAGTGTAACTTTCACTAACTTATGCTGAAAAACTTCCAGATTTTCATCTAAAATCAAGAAAATACAAGCTGTAATGAAAATGGTCAATCTATGAGCAAGAGTCCGGACTCATTTTAAAACGATGTCCCTCGGGTAAGGGAAAAACATGTAATTCTGAAATAATTCAGTAATTTAGAGAAACATATCCAAGGTTGCTGTATTGGGAAGTGGGGTGGGGGAAGATCTCAGGTTTCAACACATTTAGAATTTTAAAATACTAGATTTTTTTTTGCAACACGCTGACGCGCATTGAAATTATTGCATTATTTACTGTTGTTGAAGTTATAGCTGAGATTTTTGTCGAGTTTTGCAAAGTCTACGTTTCATTCAATTTCACAAAACTATCGATGAAATTTGAATAAGCTGATTTTTTTTGTTTTGTTTTGGAATAATACTTTGACAAAACCCTTTCTCGCGGTTTAATAATTTAATTTAATTTATAGGACTTCATGGTAAACTATATTTTTTAAGAAATTTTTAGGATTTCTTACTCGTGAGTATGCAACATACACCTAATCAAAGTAAATGTTTCTTTCTCGATCCAAATTCCATTTTTTCAGACGTTTGGCCTTGTGATTTGTTTATAGTTCTCACAAACACGGCGAACTGGAAATTGGATTGTTGTTTATAAAAAATAAACAAAAGATATACAACAAACAATATTACATTTTTATTAAACTCACATGAGTCCACCAATAATGTTTGTGCGACACATATCCCAGGATCCCATAAATATTTAATATAAAATATCTATACACATCACAAGCAAAGAGGTGATACCCCCAATGTAATGGTGACTTATTCTTATCTGAACTACATACAATCCTACAATATACGTTTGAACTTAGTTTTTCCCAATTCCTCACATTTAACACACTAGAATTTTTTTGCAACATTCTGATGCATATTGAAATCCTCACAGTATTTAATATTGTTGAAGTTATCATTAACCCTTTGAACCCTGACTACCGCTTTACCAGTGGTAGAGAAAAATGACGTAATGCCCAACCACCAGTTGAACAGTAGTAGAGAAAAATGACTTAATACCCAGCCACTGGTTGAACGGTCGGTAAACACTTGAAACTATATTTATATATACTGTGAAATATTACATACCAATTATTTGCGAATTTTGACTCGGGAGTTCAGGCAGAAGGGTTAAAATTGTTCAGAAACACAGGGATCAAGGGGTTAATCAAATAGTTTAGTATAAATCATATGGAACTCCCCTTGTTATTTTTTCATTGCCCCGGGGTGGGATGTCAGTAATTTGCATATGTAATTATATTCATGTGTTTTAAAGATTGAAAGGTCGGTATATTTGGGATATTTTTTCAGAATATGTACCTTAAGTTGTTCATTAAAATTTCAAATGTTTATGATAAGATGTTTTATTGATGTCGCCTTGTTGTGTCGGATATCATACTTGTGGCCAGTAAATCTTTAATGTCTCTCCCTTTCATTTCAACTGTGTACACAGGTCATTCTTTCTGCTAATGACATGCATTGTCATTCGTTTTGAATTTATTGTTTTGTGTTACATACTCTTACCCAAACTCACACGAGTCCACCAATAATGTTTGTGTGAAAAATATCCCAGGAGCCCATAAATATTTAATATAAAATATCTATACACACCACAAGCAAAGAGGTGATACCCCCAATGTAATGGTGACTTGTTCTTATCTGAACTACATAAAATCGTACAATATACATTTGAACTCAATTTTTACCAATTCCTCACATTTAACATACTAGAATTTTTTGCAACATTCTGATGCATATTGAAATCCTCACAGTATTTAATATTGTTAGACTTATCACTGACATTTTTGTTGAGTATCTGTCTATGTTTCTGAGATAAGGTATTATGTGCACTATTTACATTATTGGAACTGTTGTCCTTATCTTTGTCACCAGTGGAAAAATCAGGCATGGAGAGAAACGGAAGATCACCGCCCTCTGTGGGATCAGGTTGAGATCATAGACAAAACAGCATTGGAAAATTCGTAAACTTAAGGAATCAGCACATATTCTAAACCACAAAAATCTCCTGAGCTGACCAAGCATAGAAATGAATACACTATGGGAACCAGTAATAAGGAGTGCCAGAGAAAATCGATATTAGCTCTGGTAAAAACAAGTAAGGATAACAGCAAAAATTGCAATATGAACACTGGTAAAAAAATGATGTTGAAGACATTAGGTTAATACCCAGAAAAATTGAAACACAGATGTCCTCATGGGCACATGGCACAGTGGACAAAGGCAACAGTTTGATCCAGTGACAGGACCCAAAGAGTGTGAGTTCAATACCTGGTTAAGGCAGTGGAGAACTTGGAGAGGGGAATTAACAGGAGATAACTGATAACTGACATCCATTAAACATAGCACGTGGAACTAGAACAGTCTACTTCAGCGAACGAAATAAAGGCTTCAGTTTGACATTCCATCCATCTGAGAAGGCCGGAGTGTACAACTGCCGAAACGTTGTAATAAATATTTTGTTGAGATTTAAAACCTTTACGTTTCATTCAAATTTCACAAACCAATCAATGAAATTTGAATAAGCTGATTTGTTTGGAAAAACACTTTGAAAAAAAATCCTACTTTGTATTTTAATAATTTCTTTAATTTAATTTAATAGTGCATGGTAAACAATATTTTTTTAATGAATATTTCTTTTTTTTTTTTCTTTTTTAAGAGCAAAGAATAAATTCTGAGGATTTCTTGAGCCTGCTCTTCACCATGTATAAATATTTCTTTCTGGAGCCAAGTTCCAAAAAGGCAGATCAAATTTCTGGGACACGTAATGAAAAAGGAGGGCTTGGAGAATCTGATACTCACAAGTCGAATAGAGGAAAAAAGAGACAAGAGAAAGCAATGCATGACATAACCTGGTGGGGTGGGCGCCTCGAAGTGGTGTAATGGTTAGCAAGCTTGTCTCGCTAGAACGATTACGACAGAGTAGTGAGTTCGATCCTCAATGGGTGACCTGGTACTTTCGGCCTTGTGCCACATCTAAGCTACGCTTGGAAAATCACCATAACCTGGTGGGCTTAAGCAAGTGGATGGCAGAACGTGGTCTGGGGGGGAGTTGGTAGAGGCACAAGACTTATTGAGAGCCACAAGGGATAGGGGGAAGTGGAGAGCCATGATCGCCCACGCTCTGAAAGGACACGGCACATAAAAAGAAAAATATTTGTTTATAGTTCTCGAAAACACAGGCCAAACTGGATTCTTGTATATATATATAAAAACTTAAATTTATTAAATAAGTATTTGTTGTTATAATCATTAAATTGTTTTCAAAATAGTGGGAATATTTTGTATGTTAAATAATAAAACTTATTACCCCCCCCACCCAAAAAAAAATGAATGAACATTTATTACACCTTAGTAAAACCAACTGCAACTGGTGCCCACTTTCTTGTTTGCACGTCTCCGAAAATTTGGTTCCGATCGGTCTATGTATGGTCAAATTGTATGGTAGGACGGACGGACGAAAGTCTCAGAATTTTATATATAGACTAATTAATTGGTACATTTTTGTAGGTTACTTAAAACCAGAAAATATTTATAGATTATGAGACTTAATGTGGTTGGAAATAATGATTTAGAGATACAAGTCTTATTTATGAAGACATAGCTAGTTAGGGGAAAAATATGGATTCCTACCTTTTCCTAAGGGATCTTTGTGCGTAAGTGAATATAACGAGCCTCGAATTGAAACTCGGCTCTTCAATTAACTATTTCGAGTCTTTATTCATTACATCACCCGCACATCCAAGCTTACATCGCCTGGTATTCCCAAGCGGTCACCCATCTAGGTACTGCCAAGTCTCGACGTTGCTTAACTTCCGTAATCGTACGGAAACCACTGTTTCAACATAATATGACAGAAAGCCCAGAATTTTAAAAGGAATACTGTCAGTCAATGGTCGAATTTATTTGAACTGGTGTTTTTGAACGTACAAGGTATTTCAGTATAGCCAAATGAAAGATCAGAGTTGTGAGGTATGGCCAACCTGATGAATCTAATGCTGTTTTCTGCCATTCAAGATAATTACTATTAAAATGGATGAGTCCAAAACTTAGAAATACACCCTTGTGCAAATTAATTGAAACAACCGCTTTAATTTCCTTTCTTTCACCAAACGGTCGATTTTAAAGCCTCAGGAATATCAGGGTGTAAACGATTTCTATTTTTCCCAGAGTTTATATCATTTGCAGTGGTGTGCAGGAAAATGAATCTATTTTCGGTGTGTATAATTGTTGTGGAAATTGGAAAACAATTTTTTTCTTTTATGGTTCTCCCGTGGAGTTCTTTAAATCTTCGTCGCCAGTGTTGTGGACCCAGAATAGGTCCGAAAGAAAACTCGAACTCAGCAATTTAGTGAAAACATATTATTAAACAAAAAGAATGAATACAAAAGGGTTGCATATCCTATTGACTGCAAAGTACAGTAGTCAACTCGTCAACTGTAGACAGCACCCTTGAGAGTCATAATCTCCCTGTATATACAGTAATAGGACGAGTCCATTTAGTCCATAAAGGTAGGTCTCATAACAATGATGAAATTTGTTTGGCCTTGAAAAATATTGCATCATCCGTGATTGCATCACATTTTCATCATGCCCCAAAACTATTGTCTCGACTATCGATTAGTTGTTCTACGGCCATTGTCTGCGATGGACGTTACTTCAAGAAAGCGTACGAAAATTGTAACACACTGGCAAGCCTTACCAGTGAGCAAATCAAAGTACTATAGATTGGCATGGAGACTGTCCTGATTTAAATCTAATCAAGAATCTGTGGTCAATCTTCAAAGAACGACCTCGTGGAATGCATATACGAAGTACTAACTTATGCTCAGGGTCATGTTTCATAGGAATAATGGGAAAAAGAGTAAATAATAACGGAATTAATCGTTTTATTTCAATTAAATTGTACAAGAGTGTACATATGGAATACTTATATTTTATTAACTCATTGAACTCGAAGAGGTCAGGACTAATGTAAGGAAGAGTACTAAGTATATCACTAAATGACTGAGACAAGTAGGTTCTACGTGCTTTATGAGAAGCGAGGAATCTTTGAAGTGTAGTTTTCAAAATGGCCACCCACTTGAAGAAAATGAGTTGACCTGTTAATGAAGAAGAAGAAAAAGACAAGGGAGATTGAAGAGAAGAGGAGGAGGAGAGGAAAAACGGGTGGATAGCCGAGAAAGAGTGGAAAATATGTTTACCTAAAGAATGAAATAAGAATGTAAAACGAAGGGACGAGATAAAATACAAATTAAACTAGAAAGTATAAAATATATAAAAAAGAGAAAAAGAGAGAGAGAGAGATAAGCAAGGGATGAGAAACGGTCTTGGGAAGAATGGAAGGAAGAAAAAAGGGATGGAAATGAGAAAAAAAACCAAGCAGGGACAGGTACGGTATGGTCGATATAAAAGATGAAAATAAAATCTAGATCTTTTAGAAAAGGAGTTTTACCTAGAAATCTAATAAAAATTCAAACAATTTAGATAAAATTAATTATTTAAAAAAATATTAAATAAATAAATATATCAGTAAAAAGACTACAATTTTTAAAAAGGGAGAAAGACAACGGAGATAACACGTAAACTATGAAATACAGAAGAAACAATGCTCTTCTGTCAGTGGAGGCGAAAAAGGTGGCGATTTTTTCCTAGTTCTCTTTTGATTACGTCTTTTTCGGTTAATTGAAAGGTAAAAATGCCGGAGATTTTTAGCGTTTAACTGTTTTTTTAGAGCTGTGTTATTTTTTGGAAAATTGTTTTATTCTTTAGTTTTATTTATTCTCTCATATTGAATGGGCGCTTTCTATCTTTGGAGACGGTATTTTTGCAATTATCTTCATCTTCAAAAACATGACTGATATCTTTTATCAAGAGCGACGTGCAAGGATGAAGAATATTTTCAGAAATTTTAACAATTTTTGTTTCTCTTTCCTCGTTTGATTTGGAAGACATTTTAAAGATTTCTTTTAACCCGTTTATTTCTTAGCAAACGAGCTCACAAGGCCTTTTTTGAATGAGAAAGAAATAAGAAAAAAAGAAAGCTCAAAATGCAAGCGAATCTTTCCCTCTGATGTTCGCAAGATGTGGCGGTTTAGTGATTATTACAAATCACAAAAAGAAGGCGTGTTTAAGACTATGAGAAAACGACAAAAGTATCTTCACTCATGTGGATTTTATCTGTAAACTGCTGTCAGTCATCTTCTCAAATTCAGCATTTCACACAGACGAAAACGAAGCTTGAGTTTACAAATATGAATGTTATATTACGTGTGAGTTCGTTTCAAACATCTTCGTCGCCAAAGTTATATTCCGTGCTAAGGGAATAAACACATAACACAAAGTGTTTCTAAAAAGAAAAGGTTTATTGTACACGACAAGTACAATATGAAATACGGTGCAGTTATACACACAGGTCAATTTAGTAGTGAGTGCCATTGATTATGGAGAAGCTACTTTTTCTGGAACGACACCCTTCTGCAAATTAATTGAAACAAAACTGATAATTCCGTTATTATTTACTTTTTTCGTATTTTTCCAATGAAACATGACCCAGTGCACATGTTAGTACTTCGTATACCCATCTCACGAAGTCGTTCCTTGCAGATTGTTGAGCGGTTCTCCCCTTTTTACACAAATGGACTCACCCAGGGTATACATATACAACTGCTAGTGAATACCCAGAGAAGAACGAGAAAGAACGAGAACGAGCGACGAACCCGAACGAACGTAACGAGCAAGAGTCACAGTGAGCAAGCACGTAGATTCAGTAAGAAATCATACAGTGATACGTCGATACCAAAGACTGTATATATATATATATATATATATATATATATATATATATATATATATATATATATTGCTACTAACCCGCATTCCTGGAACTACTAACCTGCATTACCAGTTTGTATTATTACATTAATACATTTATTTTCCTATATTCCTTCTTGGCGTTTGTTATTTATTGGTATCGGATTTCATCCCGGAATCCACAACACAGATTGACCACAGATTCTCGATTGGATTTAAATCGGGAGAGTTTACATGCTAGTCTATAGTACTTTGATTTGCTCACCAAGGCTTGCCAGTGTGTTCGTACAGCGTTACAATTTTCGTACGCTTCCTTGGAGTAACGTCCATCGCAGATAATGGCAGTAGGACAACTAATCGACAGTCAAGTCAATAGTGCCTGGGCGTGATGAAAATCTCATGCAATCACGGATGATGCAATATTTTTCAAGGCCAAACAAATTTCATCATACACACGGAAAATAGATTCATATTACTGTACACTACTGCAAATAACCTAGTCTGAGGAAAAAACAGAAATCGATTACACCCTGTCACTCCAGGGGGTCTTAAATTGACCTTATGGTGAAAGAAAGGAAACTAAAGCGGTGCTTTCAATTAATTTGCACAAGGAATTTCTCAGTATTTGCAAGCTGTGAAATTATTAAACATGTTTAAACATTAATCAAATCTGACATACGGATTGTTTTTAAAACGTCAAACCAACAAATTAGCTGTTAATTTGATATTTCCATTTTCAGGAGGGTTCATACAAACGGATGTAATTTGTACACATCTGCGCAGAAGAAACTGCCATTGAGCCTAACTGCGCCTAAAATTGTCGCCATCATTCGGCACAGCAATCGGAAATTCCAGTAAAGATATTATATAACCATAAAGCATGAATATTGTTTTATACAAGGCACAAGAGCCACTCATGGTAGACGCTTAGTGAATTAAGTTGTTGGACGTAGACCACGATTGACTCAAAATTTGAAAAAGGTATATTGAAATGCTTTCTATCGGGAATCTCTAAAGCAAAGTCGCGGTTCTTGCAAATGAAATACGAAGGCAGTGCGGATGATTCAACCCTGTGGATATGGCATGCGGATCTATATGTAAAGGTCTTACTTTTTTTTTTTTTAATCATTTTACCACAAACAAGGCGGGGGTGCCACTAGTACGCAGGGGTTTACAGAGAGTGAAAACGAGAGAAAAGGCTGGGTATAGTGGGGGTGAAGAAAGGATAAAAGATGAATGGGTTTGAAGACAAAAGAAGATGGCGATTAACGTTGCATTTAAATTCTTGAAGATTGTAGTCATCAGGGAAGTAAGTAATATGAAGAAGGGATTTCCACTGTCGGGAAGTGCGAGAAAAGAAACTGTTAGAGTAGAAATGGCGGTTATATTTAGCTGTTTCAACAGTAAAAGTTTGGGACCGATGTGCCAATCTAGCAGCAAACTTAAATTCATGTAGCCGGTGCACTAGCGAAAAAAAAAATGCATGTCAAAGCAGTTGCTATGAAAATATTTGTAGAAAAGACAGAGAGAAGCCTAATCGCGTCTGTGAGAATCTGACTGAATCGATATCCTAGATCAGGATCGATTATATTGCAGATCCTTGTTTGGATTTTATCAAGTACCTTGAAATGAGTAGTAGGAGCCCCAGACCGGATATGGCAGCAGTATTCAATACACGGACGAATGGTAGATTTGTAAATATGCAAGATTGCCTCTGACGAGAAAAACATTCTGGCACGACGCAATCAACCAATATTCCTTGCAATAGATGCAGCTATTGATTCAACGTCGTTGTTCCACTTCAAATCAGTCGAAAACGTGAGGCCAAGAAGTCGCAGTAAAGACGCTCTCCTGAAGTCGAGCAACACCCCTGCTGATAACAGGCAGGGAAGTTTAGGCATTAAAATTTGCAAGCCATTTCCTGCCCGAGTTAACCAATGATTGGAAATTCTGTTGGAGAGCCTCGGCCAGATTAACTTTATCAGCTATGACGGGTTTTCTATTGAGACAGTAGTAAATGGTAGTGTCATCTCCA